TTAAATAAATGGGGATTTATTACCTTAGCACTCGGTAACTGGGTCCTTCCATGCTTTGGGCTATGAACCACTTTGAGGAATCCTTTGTAGTGGCCTATGACTAGGAGGAATGTTCTTTGTGTGTTTCTTATACTCTTCCAAATTTTTGGTCAAAAATTATCACTTGCTTTCTGTTAGCAAATTCGCCCCAAATCTTTTCCTGCTCATGGCTGCTTGTCTGTAGAGAGAGGAAAGCTCACACATGGAAAATATATTGAGAAGTTTAAACTAAAAGAGAGCAGGTTTAGATTAGATTTTAGGAAGGAATTCTTCCCTTGGAGGGTGGGCAGGCCCCGGCACAGGGCGCCCAGAGGAGCTGTGGCTGCCCCTGGATCCCTGGAATATCCAAGGCCAGGTTGGACAGGCCTTGGAGCACCCTGGGACAGTTGAAGGTGTCCCTGCCCATGGCAGAGAGGTTGGAACTGTATGATCTTTGAGATCCAGGCCATTTCATGATTCTAGTAAGAATTACCTGTCTTTATAACAGTGTTTCTTCCTGATTTATCTCTGGCTCAAATCTTAATTTTAATATATTCCATAGATCTGTGATTTCAGTATCCAAGTGTGATACATGTTCTAAATATCAGTCTTTTTGCTATTTAATCTGCCAAGACAGAACTGGTGGTGTTGCCGTCCCCATCCCCCAAGTTACCATTCTTTGGTCACATCCTTTGTGACACACTCTGCAGAATTGACTGAGACTTTTCTCTTTAGCACCAAACTGCAGCAGCCTCTAATGGTCACTGCCTTATTCTCCAGAACTCAATTTCACAGCATATTGGAGGTGACACACCTTAGCTGCAGTGGAGAAGGCTTTATTTTCATCCCTTTCAACTGAATTAATGCCTGTTTGGGAGCTCTCTGCAGGTGCAAACTGGAGCTGGGTTGCAACACCCATTAAATGGAAAATGGTGAATAAGGTGCTCCTTGGTAAACTTTTGTTACAGGCAGCTCTGCACTGCCAGGCTTTATAAAGTTTAACAATCTGTTGGAGTCATTAATCTCCTGCTGTGGCTTTACCTTCCAGTGGCAGGATCAGACATTTAATTCTCTACTAGACTGTAAGTAGCACTGAGACATTTTGGTTCTAAAATTGTTATATAGCCATGGAAAACATCGTTTTGGTGGGCATTTAACCTCTTTGAGCTCAATTATGGCTGTGAACTGACAATGATAAAAGTGCCCCAAACAGTGCTTAGAACAGTAGAGCATGATGCTATCAAAAACAGCAACTTGACTGTGCACCATAAACTGATGGAATTGACTGAACTGGAAAGGCATAAAATCTGCCTGTGCACCATTCGTGCTTTCAAAAATATTTCCAGGTCTTGATGTTTTCCTTCTATATTTTTTGTTGGTGTGGCAAATTTATTTATCTGTTAGCTTTATGTACATCAATGAAGTTTTCTCTCTGACAAAATGAATTAAGCAAGACCTTAATTTAACATGCTTCCTCTAATAAATGAAGTTTCACGTGGTGGAATTTGTGCTTTGAATTAATCTCTAAATTAAAAATCCTGTGGGGGAAAAAAACCTAAAGCGTTGTCTTACAAGTAATAGTGTGTGTCATAATATTTACATCAGAACTCAGCATAAATTAAGGCATTGCAGAGGCATTTGTTAATACAGGTGCACGAGCAAAGCCCTGGTGCTGGTTTTGGAATAGAACATGACAGGCTTTTGCTGCTTTCAGATTCAAGTCACAGCTTCTCCCTTTCCCTTCTGAACTGACATTAGCTGGGTGAAGCTGAAATCTCTGGGTGCACAAGGCATCACTTAGGCTGGACTTTGTTGCAGTATGCACAGGAACACACAGGATTGCTTTCCCAGCAGTTATTTGCCTTGATGAATAGCCCTAATTGGATCAAATAGACTGGCAATGGTGAGCCAGTACTTTTAAATGTCGTGTCTTGTGCCATTAACATTACCTTGTCATGTATCCATTTTAGCTCTAGGATGAATGTCTTGCCTTCATACCGCTGTCACATTTAACAAATTATTTTGTCAAGTCCTTCTTTACAGCTTGTGGTGAAGGATGGCAAAATTTGTGGTCTCCTACATACAGAAAACCTGTTAACTCTACCTTTCAACTTCAATGCAAGGATGTCCTAAAACTCAGATAACAAATTCCTGAAGAAATTATAGTGCCTGTTTACAAGAGGGGCCAGAAATATTCTTCTGACATCTATGATTAACACAGCACAAGGAAAATAGAATGTATTAATTTTGTATTTATTAAACCTGTGACAGGCAGAATTCAGTTTCTTTTTTTTTTCAGCTGCTGCAGTTATGAACCTCGGAGTACAACACACAGTTACCATTAGAAACCAGATATCCATTTTATTAATTCCTTTTGATTCAGAAAGAGCTCTACTGTATATTTACTATGGTAAACCCCAAATTGCTGGTTAGCTGATGCTCTTGCTGTCCTTTTTATTGATTTCTGGTATGTGGTTGTAAGCTGAATATATTTAACAGTGATGAAAATAAGCTGCCTCCTTGAACATCCTGAGACTGCTGTTACAATTCCATGGGGCATATTGTTATAACCTGATCCATAACAGCACATTACCTTGGATTAAAAATTGAATTCTTGTTCACTGAATAAATACAAGGCTTTGGAACAGATCCCTCCTTTTGGCAGGACACAAACAGGAAAGGTTTGGTGCTCATTTAGCATTTAAAGTAAAGGTTTTGTAGTGCAGTGGACAGTAGTTTTCACTGGCACATCCTGAACTTGAGCAAGCAGAATTTTTTAGGGATCTTTCACTGAGAATGAGCTGGAAGCCACGTTGGATTTTTAAAAGCTTGGTGTGTTTCTTTGGAAGTGCTACCATTTGGCCTTTTTTGATACAACGAGCATCAAAGCCTAACTGTGGGTACACAAATCAGGCATCTGATCTGGAGTTTGCCAGCAAGCCCTGGGAAATGGATGTCTGCAGAGGAGAATTATGCAAATTTATGATGCACCTTCTCTGGCAGTATTTCTCCCTTAATGCTGGCTATAGGTGCAACTACTGAATTAATAGGGAATCACAAAATATCCTGAGTTGGAAGGGACCCACAAGGATTAAAAAGTCCAACTTCTGGTTGTCCTTCACAGAGCAACCCCAAGAATCCCACCATGTGTCTAAATTCTTAAGTTAAAAAATTTTTATAAATACTGACTGGAAATCTATCAACCGTAGCATGCAGGGTGCTGTGCTGCTGCACTGTTCTCTGGCACTCAGCATCTTAGAACATCTTTTCTTCTTTTTTCTTGCAATGTTTTGATGTATTTGGAAGAATATTGTTATTTATATTGAGATGGTACCTATGAAAACTATTCATGGATTGGGGTCCCATTGTGTGAGATGCTGTGCAAATAGACCCAAAGCATGGTCTGAAAGAGCTTTTAATGTAAGAATAAAATAAGAGTCAGCAAGTGGAGAGCAGCAGATTGATGGGAGAAAAAATAAAGAGTACAAGATGGAAATATAATAGGTGGTAGCAACCACACACCAGCTTCCAAACTGTTGGCAGGTCTCTGATAGATGATTCTTTTCTTCTTTTTGTCTTCTTTCCTCCCCCTGTTTATATGTGTTACTGAGTTTGCTATTCTGAGTGCCTTTAATCATTTTGAAAGTGAAAATAAAAAAAAAAAAAACTTTCCAGGTTGAATCTGAGTAGAATTAATTTTTTAGGAGAAGTGAGAACTGCTTAATACGTTGACTGCTTCAGTTGTGATGGAAATAAAATGAATACCTCCTACAAGCACATATATGCTATTTTGCTTTGCTTGTTTTTACTGCACCACTCAGGGAATGAAAGAAAAAGGTTCAAAGTTAACTTTCTCCTTATTCAAATAGAGCTGAGAATTGCTGTCATCAAACAGCAAATGCATCTTGGATTGTGTATTTGCAATGTCTGACAATAGGCCAGTTTTCAGTGTGATTGGGTGTTTTGATGGCACCTTGTCTAGCTAAGGCTTTCTTGTCTGGGCTCAGAATAGAGAAAATTACCTCTCTGGGTGCTTCATCCAACTAAAAATGCATGATTTAAGGAGACTAATGGGCACCCAAGGCTCCAGGCTGAATAGCTCCCAGCTTCTGTTTGAGTCCACAGTTTTTCATTCTTAACAACCCAAAAGCTGGAGAAAACATAATCAAGATGTTTCTGATCCACAATCCCACAGAGCAATTAAGCTTCCAGGAAGAATTATTTAAGATTTCAGTCATTTTTCTGGCTGTCTTTCAAATTTTGGAGAAGTTTGACATTAATTAGTGGTCATTAGCAAGGTGGAAAAGAAGTTAGTGACATCATTCTTACAGTAATATTGCTTCAAATAGATGTTTATATGGACTAACAGGTGTTAAATCTTCAGTAACTTGTAAAGTGTTTCTTTCTTCCTTTAGAATAAATTGGAATATGTTTTCTAATCTGCCTGGAAAATGCTAAAAAGGTTTTCTGTTTATACTTCTTGGAGCTATTCAAATGGGAATACAGAGCACAAGGCATCTGCTACACAAAATATTAATTATTGCATGGAATACTATTCACTGGAAGAATTAGAGAAGGCTTAGAAATATTCAGGCTAATATTTTTTAATGGTTGCTTGGAGTTAAGCTCCTTAATCCATATTTGCCTTTTTAGTGAGCTGAACTGTTTTTTCAAGTAGTGTGGAGCTTTCAATTCTCATCAATTTGCTGTGTCTTACATGAGTTATCACCATCATTCTGTACAGATCCATTCAGGCCAGTAGGATTAGGTCTATGTCAGCACAAATCCCAGGAGGGCTTTGCAGAGCCTGGGCCCTCAAGTTTTTAATTTTGCTTGCTGCAAATATTGAAGAAAAAAAAGCAAAAAAATCGAAATTCCCACATAACACCGTGAGACGAAGCACATCAGTGCTTCAACATGAAAAGTGGGAACGTGTGCTGATGAATGCCATTAATTTACTGCTGTGCTGTCCTTTGTCCCAGCTCCGGAAGGCAGTGATGGATCACATCTCAGACTCATTCCTGGAGACCAACGTCCCTCTGCTGGTTCTCATCGAGGCCGCCAAAAGCGGCAACGAGAAGGAAGTGAAGGAATACGCTCAGGTCTTCCGTGAACACGCCAACAAGCTAGTGGAGGTGAGTGCTTGGTGTCTTTGTGGCTTTGGCTGACCTTGAGATGTGTCAGAGAGTTTTCTTCCCAGCCTGGCAACTGAAGAAGGAGTTAGGATTTTTTTTGTTTTGGTTTTCAAATGTGATGGTGTTCACTTCCCTCTCCCTGCAGAGCGAGGGAAGAGACGAGAATCTCGACTCCATGTTCCAGAAGGCTGATTTATTATTTTATGATATATGTATATAATATTAAAACTATACTAAAAGAATAGAACAAAAGATTTCATCAGAAGGCCTGAAAGGAATAGAAAAGAATGATAACAAAAGCTTGTGATTCTCAGAGTGACTGTGATTGGCCATTAATTAGAAACAACCAACATGGACCAATCAAAGATGCACCTGTTGCATTCCGCAGCAGCAGGTAATTATTGTTTTTCTTTCCCTCTGAGGCTTCTCAGCTTCTCAGTAGAAAAAATCCTAGCAAAGGGATTTTTCAGAAAACATCATGGCTACATTCAAGGTTGTTTATTTTTCTGTTATCTAGAATATTTTTTTCTCTGACCTGCCAAGGTTTGTCTGGCAGGTTGGATTGAGATACTCTGACTGCCTTCAGAGGCAGTGTTTTTTTATACTAAGAACTACATGTATATAATTTACAATAATTTCTCAATACCTATCACTTATGTTAGACAGTGGATTCCTACTTTAAACTAATCCAAAAGTGCCACCATCACTTAGAAGATGGAGGCTAGGAAGGAGGAAGAAAGAACAAAACACACCCAAAATCGTTTATCTTAGGACTTGGTGCCCCCATTCTAAAAACTCCAAAATTCTACTTTTTACCTTGTGACAAACTAACTATCATTCTATTTAAACTTTTGTAGCTTGTAATTCTTCATATAAGGTTGGTAATTTTTTTCTGTGGGTCAAGATCAAAGGCACAGGGGTCTTGGACTCTGTGCCAGGGTCTCTGAGCCCCCTGGCAGGGGCTCGAGCCATCCAGGACAGCCAGAGGGATGTCCTGGGTTCCAACAGTGAGTGACCTTATTGACACAGCCAGATTTCCATCTCGCACCTCCAGGAGCGGCAGGAAAAGTTACAGACTGGGAGAAATGTTAGAGGTCTTATTTCAGGAGTTTTGATCAACTTTACACCGGTGATGGCCCCAGAAATGTGTGGATGACGGGCAGAAGAACGTGCTGTGTTTTAGTGGTTCATTAAAGCAATTAAGTATGTTAGAAATGGTGTTTGCAGCAGTTTGTCAAAAGACAGGAGCAGCAAGAATTAAATTTCAGTTCAGCTTCACTAACAGTACAATTGAGCTGGATGTCTATTAAATAAAAAGCCAAATCAGTGCTTCACAATCTGGGCCTGGCCAAGGACTGCTCTGGACTTTATTGTCAGTCTGAACTGAAATTGGGAAAAGGACCTACAGAGAACGCACAGCCTGAAGAACATATATGGTCTTGAAAAGTCTGTAGTTCATATATATATATATATATATATTTATAGTACCTTCTCTTTCTGAAAAGACACACTGTAAAGTCAACCAGTGATAATTACAAGTCTTCAGGGATGACATTGAAATAGCTTTATTCTACCATGAGGAGTATAAAGTATAATGATTGAAACCTTGGATACTCATGGAATGGACATCTAATAAAATTATAATGTTCATTTTGGTTTGCCCTCCAAGAACTATGAAAAGTGCTTGTGTTTTTAAAGAAAAATATAACTCAGTGATTTGCTCCATAACATTGTGTGGCATTTTTCTGCACTAGCAATGTTTTGAAGGCTTTGTAGCCCCTTTGCAACATGTTTTCTTGTCACACAATTCACTGTTTAGCAAAGGGAAATGCAATTAGGGAACTACTGACCTGACAGGTACTGAGCTACACATCTGAATGTCTTCTGTTAAATCAGGACTCATCCTAATTCTGTAGAACCTGAGCTGAGGCAAAGGGTAAGGGTTCCTTTATTAATGTTGACTAAATCTGGATAGTTCCCTGATAAAATAAGTGTCTGGATGTTTTTTTTTTTAATAGTGGGTGGGTGTTCAAATGTTCTTGAGCATCTCATTCTTGCCATGTACCAAACAGGGAGTCGAGGTACCTCATTCTGCCCTGGAAATCAGGTGTTGGCTATAGTACTTAACTTGTAGGTGCCTAAAGGAAGGTCTTGGGGGTCTAAAATTTCTGTTTAATGCTGAATCCAGTGAGGTTTAATGCTGAATCCAGTAATTTTTATTACTGTTGTCTGCAAGAGGATCACAGGGCTGTCAGCAACCTTCCCTCCCAGCCCCTGTGTACAGGCAAAGATTTATTGCTGCCTCCTTGTGACTGGAGCTGTGGCAATGAAAAAAATAAATAGCTGGTAGGTGTATAAAGAGAGGGAAAATAAACCCCAAACAAATGGAAAACCCCTCCACAATGTTTGTTCATAGTTATATTATAGTGGCAGTGGAGTTGTAGGCTTATGTGCAGTGAACATATGTGGGGTTAGTGTTATAGCACTCACATCCTCCACAGATTTGCAGAAAAGTGCTGCAATGACAGGTTTAATAGCATTATTAAAAAAGTTAAAAATAGCTAAGTGGATATTTTAAAAATATTATAAGAGGTAATGGCATAAAAGGAGGAAAAATACCTTTTAGGGGTGTAGTTAAAAAAAAAAAAACCAGCCAAAAACTCCCTGCCAGAAAAACCCACAACTTTATTGGGAAGAAGAAAGAACTGTAATGCTGTTACACTGTCAGAGGGAGAATTTGGGTTTATTCTTAGGAGGAAATTCTTTACTGTGAGCATGGTGAGACCCTGCTGCCCCCATAAAAGCTGCCCCATCCCTGGAAATATCCAAGGCCAGGCTGGACAGGGCTTGGAGCAACCTGGGCTAGTGGAAGGTGTCCCAGCCCATGGCAGGGGTGGAACTGGATGGACTTTAAAGTCCCTTCCAACCCCAGGGCATTCTGTGATTCTATGAAACAAAAAATAATGCACAGTTTCAATAATTTAATCTTGTTTTTACAAGCCTAACATTACATTAGATTTGTATTTTAGAACAAACTGGAGGTTGGTTAATGATTTTTGATATGTAGTTAGCTTGTACCCCACCAAAAAGGAACAATGTTGGTATCAATAGATGTCTCAGGGCTAATAGCTAATATTTTTATTCCATTTAGGCTGTTTCAGACTATTAAAAGCAGATTCTTAATTGAATACTCTATATCTGACAGCTGGTACTGGCTTGTGGGTGCATTCTTACTTTTTTCCAAGGATGAGTTCCTTTAGGTGGATCTTGCCCTTTTAGTAGTAAGAACTATTTCTGCTTCAGGTAAAAAGTATCTTGAAAAACAAATTTCTAGTGAAGTGAAATTTTTAACCCCAAATTTCAAGTTCATCAGTCTGCAGAAGCAAATACATATTTGGAATATATTTATCTCCTCTTAATACTATATTTTGCACTTCAAATATTTTCATCATTTTTACTTACTGATGCACAATGGAACCTTAGCAGATGGACTTCTCTGGTTTTGTGGGTCAAGTATCTTGCAAATAGTAAAGTGTGGTTTAAAGATGAGCCATAATCAAGTGACTGTGAAATGTAAGATGCTGTCCCAGGCACGGGGCCAGAATTGCTTGCTAAAATATGCAAACACAGCTCTGCTGAAACGCGTGGAGTTGCACTTGCTCATGGTAGAGGAATTTGGCACTGCCACTTCAATGCTGTGAAAATTCTGTAGTATTAATCATTAATTTTGAAATCTGAATCCGAATTTTTTGGATGTCCTACCAAGCTCAATAGACAGCCTATCAAAAGTCAGGGAAAAATAATACATGTTTTAATATTTCTTTATGTGAAACCTGCATTTTTCCATCCTGAGGGAAAAAAAAAATTGCACTTCTTGATAAATGGCAGAATTTTCTCTGCATAGCCAATACATTTTTAAAAATATATTTTGTCAGCTTGAGCCTTAAGGAGGTTAAGTTTCTTTTATAGTCCATATTGCAGAATATTTAAATCTTCTCTCAAAAGCCATTTTCATTATATGATATTTTCCTTTCCCTACCTCTTACCGTAACATTAATAACAACAAAGATGGATTGTCATTTTTGAGACATTCACTGACAACTAGATTTGTCTATGGGTTTTGTTGGAAACACAGAGTGAGGTGTCACTTAACTATAATGTAAATCATACAAAATAAATCAAATTGTCACACAGATTCTGGGGGTAAATCATAATAATATAATAAAACAGAATTTAGATGGTACCAGTTCAGGCTTGGATGGGTAACTCTTTTCCTTGCAATGTTTTTTTCACAGCCATTTCTCAATTTTTTTTTCTGCCTTCTGAAACTGAGGTTAGAGAAATGATGGTGCCTTTCCAGGTCATGATCTTTGCCTCATGAATTCCTTTATGTTTTTTAAGAAATTATTTGCTATGACTGAAAGTAAATTCCTGAGTTGTAATGCCAACTTCAGATGTGACCTTAGAAAGTAATTTTACTTTTCTACCCAAGCACCTTCATTAGTAGCATAAGGTTAATGACAGATAATTCTAATGTCTACCACACAAAGGCACCTGACTGATAAATCAGCTCAGATTTATTCAATGCATCTATTAAAGCACTATAAGGAAGCTAATTAATTAATTTTCATTGTTCTGTTTACTAGAGGTTCTTTGGTTTAACTGTTGGTCCCCTGGACTGTTTCTAGAAAAATTAAATTATTAAATCTAACAGGTTTTCCTGGTTGATGAAATTCAGCATCCATTAAATTCTTAAGAGCCATGGTAGCAGTCTGTTCAGTTGGAATTCAAATTGTAGTGGATTGGATCAGACTTTCCATTCTCAAAAGGATGGGTATAAAAAGATATTTCTACTAGTTGTTTCACTTTGAGGAATTTTAATACTTTTATGGAAATACTTCAGCTTTTTGGTGGTCAGTGAACATTTACAAGAGTTTAACTCAGTTGCTTTATTCTTATTTCCAACAAAACCTGAATGAAGGGGTGTTTTGTTCTTCAGT